AAAAAAAAAAAAAAGTGAAAATTTTCTCTGTTTTTTTTTCCTATATATTTTAAATAGTTTTAGTAAAGTAGAAAATTATTTGACTGTTACAAAGCTCACACAGGCTTCAAAATACAGATCTCAATGTTAGGTTTTTCTGTTAAATGATTTTAAAAAGTTAACTAAAATGATTTAAGTTATTTATTATGAAAAGTTTAGGTGATCTAAAACAAAACAATTTGAAAACTTAAGAACTATAACAGAGATAATAAACATGAAAATTTGAAAACCAAATTAAGATTTAAAATCATGGACAAACTTATGAAATCAATCTCATGAAACAAATATAGTTGTCTAAACATTATTCATATATAAATTTCTCTTGAACGCTAATGATAATATTTTCATTCTCAAATTGTGAAAAAGGAAAAAAAAACGTGGTTGAGATTGTGATGTCTTAGGAAACAAAAAAATGTGGATCAAGGATCTTGCACTAAAGATACAACGAACCCGTCAATAACATGAAAATGCAAATCAACGATTCTAAATTAAATTCTCGCTATGAAAAGAAGCCAAATTTTAAGACAAAAGAAAAAAAGCATTACTATTCATGAAAGACATTACACAAATGTTTTCATTCAAAAGACACAATCTTTCATAAAAAAAAGATGCAAATATTTTGTTATTTTATTTGAAATAAACTAAAACAAAAAGGAAGATAGTAGAACAGAAAAATGAACATGAATTAATGAATGATTTTATAATTAGAATTATTAGTTTTGATAGGTCATCTCAAGGGTAGGCCACAAAATATTTAACAAAGATTATCCGAATCTTAAAGTAAAAAAGAGAGGTTATAGAATTAGAAGACACACGGCCACACTTCACTTTTTTTTCTTCTTTTTTCTTTTTTCTTTTTTCTTTTTCAATTTATAACAAACCTCTATAGATGATGCTTTGAATCTTCCTTTTTCTTTTTCTCCTTTTTTTTCGGTCATTTTCAATTCAAATCATTATTGAATAATTTAATTCTTCTGTTCATCCTTCCCCTTTCTGTGGCTCTTTCTTGCTTGGATTTTTTCGTATTCTCTTTAAAGGTATTTTTGGAAAAAGCTTTTGGTGATAGGGTTTTTGTCTAAGGTTAAATTGTGAAGTTAGTACATGATKATTGTATCTATTTGATCGGATTTTAATTTTAATAAGGATTTAGAGACATGACGTARCACAAATGAATAAACTAGTTTGATAAAAACAGTTAAGAGACGATGGCAAAAAAATTATTTACAATTTATTAGGTTTATCCACACTATTGTATTTTTTTTGGCTCGTTCGACTCTTCTTATTTTATCTAGCTAGTTTATTTCTTTTATACGGCCACGTCATTTCATGTCAACATAACATGTTATGTCAATATTTAAGTAATCGCATATGTTAAAATTTGGACTCTTTTTTCAAGATGGTCATTGAATTTTACAATTATGTCACTTTAAATTTTAAATTTTAAGGAGGTGTATTGATTAAATTTTGAGAAATAGACTTAAAGATCCCTTCGCTAACATAACCAGTAGTTTCTAGGAAAAAACTTAGATTGATGGTTTGAAAACTAATAATTATGTTACTTTTAAAATTTATTTCTCAAAATTGCGACTAAAGTGTATGTTTTGAAAATTAAAGGCCAAAGTGACCAAATTCATGGTTTATTTAAAGGTATAAAAAGCGATAAAAATTGACATTCTCTTGTTGGGTTAAAGGAAAATTACCTATTTTAAATTAGAAAAGAAAGCTTTTAATGTAATAATAAATAACATTGTTGAATTATCTTAAAGAAATAAATTAATAATTTGTAGAGCCTCTGTGGCACGGGCCGGACGGGGGAGAGGTTGCGTTGCGCGTCCGCCTCCCGACATAGATCTAAAATTCGACGTCGTTTTCAGAAATAATTTGGTCAAACTTTGGTTTGACTTAAAATATGGCCTGTTTCGATGGACCGGCGGCCCACTGGGCCCACATATTTGTTGGACTATTTTGACCACTCGTGAGCCCACTCCGCATGGGTGATTTGACCCATTAACAGCGACTAATCTATCAACCTTCCTTCACAGCTGGAAAACTTTTTTTTTTAATTTCATTTTTTAAATAATAATAATCAGTACCAAATATTCGTAGATACACTATAAAAGTGATGTTGAATAAATCACATGATTTGTTTCCCTTCACCATCTTATAAACTGTTTCTTAAATCATTTAGTATTACTGACTCGTAGTAGCATGGAAGTTGTCACGGGACTCGAACGTTCTTCTTTCTTTCTTCTTTTTGTTAAATTATAAGATTGGTCACTAAATTTTTTAAGTCGTATATGACAGATCTGTGTATTTTAATGTTAAGTCTCGAACTTTCAAATTGTTTTTAATAGGTCTTTAAATTTTATATATAATAAATTATTGAATTTTAAAAAGTATCCGATAGATTCAAACTTTAGAGTCTTATTTGTTACAAAATTAAAGTTCATACATCTATTAGACATTTTTTAAAATATAAAGATCAATTTAGGAATTAATTAGATATTTTTATTGTTAAAAATTTAATTACACACAATTTTGACAGTTTTGAAACAAAAATTTTAATGGAACTTTTTTTGGGTATTTATTCCTCCTCTTTAGTTATTTATTTATTTTGGTCTGGTGTGAAATTAATAATATCTACTTTTTTTTTTAACCCTTGGATAATTTGTCACAATTTGATTTTTCAATTGTAGGATTGGAAGATGTAGTACCTAACGCAATATCCCACTTGTTCAATAGAAATTTTGAAAGTTTAGTTGAAAGGAAAATAGATTTTTCTTTTTAATATGATATGAAACGTTTGGATTTTTTTTTAAGTGAAGTTAAATATGTTGTATATTATATGATTAAAATTTTGAAAATTTTATTGTTAGGACAAGGTTTTAATGATTAAAAATGTATTATTGTTTTCATATTCTCTATCGTTTCAAGGGAATGTATGTTGAAATGGAAAAGAAATAATAGTTTATTGTCTTTTTGTAATTGATAATAGAAAATAATAAACTAATTTTTTTCAGTGCAGGTGAATACACGACCATCCACAAATCTTATAATAAGATTCGAAGTGTTTAGTATCAGATTTTCTTTTTTATTTTATATATGCATACTTTTTAATAATATTACATTGGTAACAAATTTGTTTTAAATAAAATTTGTTAGTTTTTAAAATTTTGTAAGTTTTCCAAAAACATTTTTCATCTAGATATTTTATTTTTCAAATCATTCAGAAACCAAAAAAAAATATATATATATATATAATCTTTTGACATAAGTTTCTAATATTATGGTTCAATATATCAATTATTATGCTATTTATTAATATTATATATTACAAAATTGTATTATAAAATAAATCTTGTATTAACTTGTACAAGTACTATCAACATGAACTACACTTTTTAATTTGGACATAAAAATGTGATGACGAAAATATTATTAAAATCCACGTGCATCTAATAAACAATTTAAATTTCCATGAACTGACCCAACTATTAAGGATGTCCATTTTCTCCACGAGGACCCGCCTAAACAGGACGAGGAGGGAAATAGTCTCCACTCCATTATATATATACGTGTATATACACACGTATATATGATGAATTAACCATGTAAATGGAGATTTATTATTGAGAATTAAACCTTTTGTATTAAAAATTTATTTTAAAAAAATTATATAATCAATAAATTATTTAAAAAAATAAAATAATAAATGAAAAATAATTTCATGAATTAAACCGGATCTCGCAACGTAATTTCACGACATAATTCATGAAAAAAGTTTCAAGGACGGGAAATTAAATGGGGTGGAGACAACCGGATCCTCCTGCCCCATAAAGAACTAAAACTCTTTAAAGTAAAAAATCAATCAAACTAACATTTTCTTTTTTCTTTGTTTATTTTGGCACACAAGATAACTGAGAGGTTGAAATCTAAATAAAAACATTAAATCAATGTAACTTCACTAAGTTATCAATAATTCATTATCATCTCACACTTTCTTGAAAATTTTGTAGGGGGAAAGTAACACACATGATGGCTAAGAATAAATATGAAATTTCACTTAATAATTTACCATGATCACAACTTCTTCCAACCACCATTGGCTCTCTGTTTTGGAGAGTCTGATTTGTGTAAGGCTTCTTTTTCGTTTCTAAGCAACAGTAGAAGACCCTTGTATACAATGAAAGGATGTGGCTGTCTTTCATCATGCAGATTGCAGAGAAAGAAAACCAAATTTCCTAGGAAAAAGAGCAATAGAAGATGGGGTTGTTAAGATAATTTCGATATCAACGTATCGAGATATCAAAATACTAATAAGAAAAGATGGACGTGTAATATTGAGCGGGTTGAGATCCAACAGTGATTTATTGCAGTGTACTATGAAGTTCCTGAAAAGAAGATAGTCATTATTCAAGAAGAATTTGGCTTGGTACAAAAAGAGTGAAGGTCATCAGATCAACACAAAGGGAGGTATCTCTTTTCAGCAAAGCAAAACAAAATTCGAAATGAACAGCACGGGTAAGGAGAGAGAAAAGGTGCCCAGAAACCCAACCCAAAAACGAGTAAGGGATAACAAGATGAGGCTAGGAAAGATTTCCGGCTCAAAGAGGACTTGAGATTCCCACACGGACAGGTAGCCAAAATCTTGGCAATGAAATCTCGATACTGTAATACTAAAAAAGAAAAAACTCCAACTCAACTACACATCAGCACAACAAAATATCAATTACCAGCAACACCAAGATCTACATAGGAATGGTAACTTCATTTCCAATGTTAGATGGTTCAATCATCAGACTCGCCCCATTGGTCGACTCGTTTGGCCACAACTCCCACATTTTCCATGTCAGCAATATTGTCTGATACAGAAAAAAAAATTCAGAAATTCCCTCATCATTCATTTGATTTCATCTCCCAAACTTTGTCAGCAATGTTCTTCACCAGTAGCAAAATCATAGCCATCTATGTATTGTTCTTAGAAAGGGAAAGGATTTAGATGACATACCATGATGAGTTTTAGGCGTAGCGGCTGCTGTTGCATCATGAAGAAGGGTGATAGAATGGTAATCCAACGCTACAGCATCAAAAACAGTCTGCCTAATACAGTTCGGGGTTTGAACACCTATAATATGCATCAACCATTCATTAACATTCCACTCTACAAATTCATATTCGAAATATGGTAACGTCAGATATGTATATGTCGAAACTTACCCGCGACAACCAGATTGTTAATACCCTCCCTCTGCAGAAGTGAATGCAAGTTTGTGTTAAAGAAGGCACTGAACCTGGTTTTAACCAACTTGTATTCTCCTTCTTTGATTTCAAGGCCATCTACTAACTCTGCCCCTCTGCTTCCCTTCGCAACCGGATTCTGCTTCCCACTGCCATAGAAATGGCGACGAAAGCGTTCGACATCTCGTCCTTCAGGGTCGTGCTCCCGTACAACCTATGATAAAGAAAAAAATCACCCCCATTATTCTTCAATTAGGCTAATTGAATAGCAATCAGTTGAATTCAAGAGTTGGAAGAGTTAACTAACAAAGTCAATGAAATAAATTTATGGATGCTGCAGCTTGAAATAAGCATAATTAACATGCGCAGCAATCAGATAAACAAAGGAACAGAAACACAAAAGAGGTTATCTTTCTTTCCAATAGTTTTCATTCAGACATTTTCTCAGCTACCAAACACTTAAAACAGGGCACCTGGGTTCATTTTGTTATACATATCAGACTAATCTGTAACCCTAATGTTTCACAATTTAGAAAACCTAATTCATTCTGTGAAGTAAAAACGATCAGAGACTACTCTTCGGGGATTTTGACAGCGGGAATAATTCCAAGGAGAAAAGAACCGAAAATAGAGGAAGAAACTGACCCAAACAATGAGCATTCTCCGCTTCCTAGCAATTTCGACTGCATCTACCACGCTCGGAACTATAGCATAGGCTCCTGGTATAGCTATGACAGACCGTTCGTCAAAGAAATCTCTCTGAAATAAGGAGAAGAAATTGATCGTGAGCAGGAAGGAAGGGAAAGAAAAATTAGTAGAAAATAGGAAAACCTGCATGTCAATGACGAGAAGAGCAGTGTGGTTCCACTGATTCGCCATGGCCAACAGAGAATCAAAGATTATTCAATTTTGTGGAACAGCGAAACAATGAATTGGGTGTGGTAAAGCGACGTTTCTATGGACGCAGAATTCCTTGAAAAATGATAAATATCGCAAAAGTTTCGTGAACGGGTGAACCAATCCACCGATCAAATTACTATTATTTTTTTTTATTTTTAAATAGAAATTACATAATTTTGTTTTATTTAAAATATTTTGTTCAATATTATTTTAGATTGGTTAGTTATTATAAATTATCTAATAAGTTGTTTTAAAATCTCCTCGGTATCATAGTTTTTTAACATAAGGCAGTGAGATATTTTTGGCAATCCTCCCCAACATTTTAACATTTTAATATGATATTAGAGTGAATCAACCCCATTCAAATTTATTAGTACATTTATATATTTTATTTTTTGTTACTGTTTCGAACCAGATCAGACCCACAAAACAATGAGTAGCCCAATTTACTTATAAGAACATCACAACATCAAAAAATCGAAATGAAAATTAATCAATTAAAATGATAATGATATTCTGAAATCAAAATAAAAAACCCTTTAAAATTATTTACTAAAAAATCTGAATAAGACTCAAATGTATAACCATTATTCATGTACATATTTCTTATTATGGATAATTACAAATATATATTGTGCTAATAGCTTTTTTAATTAAAATAATAATAAAATTTATTTTATTTTATCATTTTTGCTATTATAGCAATTTATTTAATATTATCAAATAATAAATAATTAAAATAAAATTAGGCAATTAAAAGAGTTTTTTTATCAGAACCCCATTCCACATTAGGCATATTTTTGACAAATTTCTTTGTGTATTTCCATATATTATTATTGTTTGTCGATCAGGTCGGGCCTATGAAATACCTATTTACTTATAAAAAATCAGATTGATAAGGAATCGAAATGAAATGAGAGCTAAATCAATTTGAAATAAGAACATTAAGAAATCAGAATAATAAAAAATCGAAATGAAATCAAAATCAATCGAAATCACAATGACATCAAAATCATAAATTTTTTTTATGTTGTTTAATAAATATTCGAAATAAGACTCAAATATATAAGATTGAGTATACCTATTTCTTATTCTAGATAATTATAAATATATTATTATGCTAATACTTTTTTAATTAAAATAATAATATTTTTTTATTATAACAATTTATTTAATACTAATAAATAATTAATAATTATAATAAAATTGCACCAACTAAAAAGAGTTTTTTATTAGACCAACCACACCATTAATAAAATATTATTAAATTTTATTGTTCTACTATTTTAAAATAATAAATTTATTTTCAAAAATTTATTGATATTAAATAATACGAAAAATTAACATTAAAAAATTAAATATAAATTTGTAATAATGACATCATCTAATAAAAGTTGTATAAAAAAGTATTAGTAGATAGAAATAAAATAATAATAAAAATGTAACACAATTAATTAAAAAGTCATAATTAGTCTTATTAACTAAAGGAGTATAAGTCGGCGTAATTGACATATATCTYCCTTGAGAAAAGAGAGAATGAATAAAAGTTGTAAATAATAATTATAAAATGTACGTACAAATTTTTAAAGATTTTTGACATGGTTTTAAAAACATATTAAAACAAAATAAACAACAATTTCCATATAATTCCAACTCAGAGGTTATGAGTTCGAATCCCCCCAACATGTTGTAAAAAAAATTAATAAATAATTTTCTTAAAAAAAACTAAAAATATTATATTGGGACTTTGAAAAAATCTAGTTTTTTTTTCCTTCTTTTAACTTTGTTTAAAGATATCAATTTGTTTAAAAATTGTATAAACGAAAAAAACATTTATAACCAACAAAACACCACTTTATTTTACACATAAAAAACTAGAAATAAAATGTCAACTACTTGAAGTTATTAACATATAACTAATAGGGAGAATATACTTAATTAAACCCAATTAACAAACAAAAGCCCAAAAGGGAAATATATATATATTTAGCAATTTAGAAATGAAGCATAGATAAGATAAGAGTGAATCATATATCTTTTGTCCACACAATATAACTTTGTGTTATTTTGAAACTTTGCCCTATACATCTGGTGGGTTACAGCTCAAAAGAGAAAATTAATTAATTAAGCCCTAATGACAATGTTTATTAAACAAAAGAAAACAAAAAAGAGGCTGCAATAATATAAGATTATGATTAATTTAAAACCTTACATGAATAAGATGGTATATATATTATTATATAGCATCTTGAGCAGTCACAGCCATGGAGGGTTTTGCACTTAGGGGTGACTGGTCATGATGTTATATATGCTAATCATAATTAATAATGGCATTAATTTGGCAAGCTTTTGATGGGGTCTTCAATGGCTGCCTTCTTCTTGGTTTGGAAATTATTAGAATATTTCAAAAGCCAGTGCTGTAGGCAGGAGCCCAGTAGGCAGCTCCATTGTTGTCTCCTCCAACAAGCTGTGTGCATGAAACTGGTACCAAACATAACCCTCTGCTCCTCAGGTCCTTCAATGGCTTCAATGGCTTCTCTTGGTTCATCATTTCCTCTCCCTAATTTTGTCATTTTTCGCATCAAAATAATATTATTTTTTTTATATGAAGATGAGAATTCGATTGTTTGATCTTTATATGTATTAACTAGTTCAACTGTACTAAAAGTTGACAATAATACTCATTCTTATACAATAAAATTAGTGGAGATATATAAAGGGTTTATATATGCATCATAAAAATATATCAACCAAAGTGAACAGAGCTAATTGACATATATTTCTAACCAAAAGATTGTGAGTTCGATTCCACTGAAGTATATCTCAAGAAACTACGTAGAATAAGTTTGGGTTTTTTTTTCAGTGTGGTTTTGTTTAATAAAAAGTCTTTTTAGAAACTATGCTAATCATGTTGGCTAAAGTTGATCATTTTTTTTATGTTTTAGACCGGTTTAAGTGGACTTTTTAGTGTTTTTTTCGATTAGTCTTTCATTATTTAAAAAAAAATTGTTTTTTTCTTTTCTGGAGAATTTGAACTCATGACTTCTTGGTCAGAGACGGTGTCAATTATTCCTAAGTTAAACTTAGATCGGTAAAAAGATTTTGCTTTAGTCTCTCAATGTTTTAGAAAATTTTCATTATATCATTCTTGTGAGTGAGTGTTATTAAAATTAATTAATAATGAAGTTTACCTGATACACTACTTTGATGAGTGGACAAAAATCTGAAAGAGTAGTTAAGTGAAAAGTAAAAATTAAATTTTTACCTAACTTTTTAGAGGACAAATTATAAGCTTTTCATAACCTAATTTTAATGCAATGATATAACTTAAAATTTTAATATTCAAGATGCTAAATCAAGACTTTTTAAACTACAGAGATTAAATTGAAAAAACATTGAAATATTAGATACTAAAACATATATATTTAGGTCTTGTTTGATAATTATTTAAGCCTCGTTAACCTAGAAACACTACTTCAATTTTGTGCTCCATTGTTTTATTATCTATTTTTTAAAAAAAGAAAAATTCAAGATCTAAAATAAAATTTGAAAATTAAAAAGAAATAGTTTTTGAAAATTTGTTTATTTCGATATTGGTTCAAGGATTCAAATGTATTCTACGGAAGGTAGAGAACATATAAAAAATACTATGAGAAATAAGTATAATTTTAAAAAATAAAATGATTATCAATCAAGACCTTAATTTAAAGGGTCCCAAAAGTGAGTAGATTAATTTATAATGATTTTTTTTTTTTACAAGGGAAAATACCTGGTTGAGGGTGGCTTTTCTCCTGGGACACGAGTCGTTCAAAAGCTGGATTGGCCAAAAAGAAAAAGAGGGAAGAAAAAGTGTTAATAAATCTCCATCATTCTCAAAACTTTTGTTGTTTCTTTGTTTTTAATTTTCTTTTTTATTTTTGGGATTCTAAAACAATTAGGCAGCCCCAAGCAACAACTTTTTTTTGGCTTACTTTTTAATAAGTATTAAAGGTGTATAAAGCTGAGAACCTTGTTCTTTTTCACTAACTTTATTTCAATATATTATAGTCTATTAGATGCTTTATATTTTAGACCGAGTCCCCCACTGCCCCCTTTCTAAATCTCTTTTCTGTAAGGAACAACGGTACACTCTCACAACTTTGTTTTTTATTGTTTTAAAAATAATCTCAATCGAGATATTGTCCCATCCTATATACTCGTGATATTCTGTTTATTTAACCAATGTGAGACTTTAATTGCATTCTCGATCAATAATGATTCAAACTGTATGAATTTTATCTCAATTAATATCGGAAAAAAAGTTCATAAAAATGATTCAAATCAACAAAAAGAAAGCTAACCCTTCTCAATTGAGCTCTCAAATATCAAAACCCAGAAGTTGAATTTTTGAAATTTCAAATATATATGTGTATATATACCCTGTTCATACTATTTATGAAAATGTGTATAAATTTAGTATACTTACAGCGGGTTGTTGTGAGTTTCTGAGATCTTTTGGAGCACTGCTGCGCAGATAAGGGTAACTAAGAGCCTGCAGGTCAAAAAAGTAAATAAAATTCATGACTTGAGGATCCTCAAAAAAGAATGTTCAGAAAAGCATGGGGATTTTACAGTTACTTTTTTTTTAACTGCAAAGCTTTTTCCAGTCTCCACTTATATTGTTAATGGGGTTTCTTTTGCAGAGCCTACAATTTATGATGGTAAAAAAAAAA